AGTGCCCATCTGTGCATTATTTCTGTGAAGAACTGGCACCTGAGTAGAACCACCAACATTCCATAAGTTATCTGGATAGCTTCTTCACACAAAAGAATTCGAAGTTCCTGGCGAGATGCGAACCCACAGCAGTGAGGGGCAAGTGGTGTGAAGTAAACATTTTAAACAACATATATATATACACACAGAGCATCATATCAATTTAAAAAGGCATGAATATCACAAATATTATAAATAACTTTGAATTTTTTTGTTTGTTTTTTCTATTATTTTTGTTGCTTTAATGGATTTGTTCTCCTTTCAAAACATATTAATTTTTACATAAAGATATTTAAAAGCCACATTTTCATAACCTTTTAAAAACATATAAAAAATTATATGATTTATTGGCACTAAATTGCTATAATTTAATCAAATTAACAACAAATTACTCTCTATCAAAATGACATCTCATGGTACAGAAAGATGTATAAGATGTTCAAACTTAATAATATTGTTTATATCTTTTTTTAATCTAGTAATATAACAGATTATAGTTTTAATTGTAAAATATGTGAAATATCTTAAGTCTCTTGTAATTCTACTCACAGAATCTGAATGGCTATGTACAATGTAATGTTTATCAAGAAAGAAAGAAAGAAAGAAAGAAAGTAAGAAAGAAAGAAAGAAAGAAAGAAGAAAGAAAGAAAGAAAACTTTATGAAAACAATTATGAATGATAAAAACAACAGACACATATTTAAAGTATAATAAGATGATAGTAATACCTATTACTAAATGTGACCATTACTTTCACTGTTACATCGATCTACCGGTAAGTTAATGACAACTTCTGCAGTTTTTATGACCATTAGGAAATGTTGTGACCAGTGGCTAAAATCATGGTGACCATAGATTGTCCAGATTACACTTCAAAGGCTAGTGTGGTCACTTTCCCCTAGGGGAGGCTCTCAGATCAATATAGACTGGTCACTTGTAAGTAAATGGCTTGACCGTGCCCAAAACAATAGAAACTGACCAACATATATAACAAGCACTTTATAATCAAAATATCCAATTATAATGTCACTTGTGCAATGTTCAAATTAACAAAAGACAAAATTTATTGTGCCAACACCTGGTTTTAATTTAAAGCACAAGGTTTATTTTAAATGATTTCAGGTGGTTACTTCACACAACAGTTTAATTAAAGTTTGTTTTCTTCACAGCAATTTTCACGATACTGACGGAAATGAACCTGTCCTTCAAAAACACTTTGAACTGGTAGGTATCTTTATCAAAAAGTATAATGATTTGGCAAAAAAATATTAATCTTACCAAATAGAGAAATGATGGAGCTAACTCAAGGGTGCTCTCAAGATTTTAAAATTATTTCTGTCTTTCTTTTATATAAACATTGAGGCTCCACTGAGGTAAAAATACCTAAAATTTCTTACATAAATCAAGTAAAGCACAAAAAATTGAAAAATCTGCAAAGGATAATAAAGAAATATGCTCTGTATAAACTAAAAATTAACTTTTGCAGCGATTTATAGCCCAATTTAATTGAAAAGCAATGCATAAATCTATTTTTGGGTGATTTTGCATAATATTAAATTGGGGAGAGGGAATAATCTGAAAATATACACAAAAGTTATTGGTCTAAACATACATCAAATGGTACACAAATATTCGAAAAATATTTCCAGTCTCTTCATTTCAAGAAACCTTAGTGGAGTCCCTTTAATAGTTTTCACTTCTTTTCAATTCTTTCAGTATGGACAAAAAAACACTTATCATTTTAGAGAAAGACATGTATATACTAAATAAATAGTAAACATTGCTGATCATGATCAACATCAACACATGGCATTAGGCACGGGCAACACATACATGCTGGCTGATTTTCATTTGCCCTAGTTGTAGCCATTTGCAGGCTGACAATCAAATAGGATGTATGGACTGTATGAGAATCCCAACTTAATCAATGTAATTTGACAAAGAAATGAAAAAAATAGTTTAACACTCTAATTTTTCATCAAATATCCCTCCTCGCATTTATATGAAAAAGTCACTTTAAGTTTTAGCAAAACCCTTACACGTCAATTTCCGGTATTTCTTTGCATTAAACATTTTTTAAATTTTCCCCCCTAAAAAACCTGTTAAACATACAAGTTTTATCACATTTAAGCTTCTTAACCACAAACAATACAGATAATGATTTAAACATCTATGAAAATCTTGAAACAATGACTGAAATATGTCATCTTTATACAAATTAAAATTACCGCAACACAAGTGACAAAACCCACGATTATGTCTTCCGTTACCCATTTATGGAAGAAGTAACAAGATGTACACATTGGTGATCGTTATCACTAATTACTCATCAATTAACACAATGTCTTTACGACCTGTATAGAAATAATTCAAACTAGAATTTATCACGGGTAAATCTATACATAGTCAAGTCATCACAGGTGTATGCTATGAGAGCATGGGCTATAAAAAAACAACCTTTTTCTCAGTGAATCAACATAGTGTGTAGGTTTATTCATTATAATTAAAGTTGTAACATTGTTTCTGATTGTAATCTTCAGAATATTGAATGCCTGTGCCTGAAAACACTATCAAAGTTGATTAAACATTGCAATTAACACATAATCAGTATTATGTTAACATCTTAATTATCATTCTTAGCAAGCAGAGTTTTATAAGGTAATTGACTGAAAATGTGTATTTACAAAAAGTCTATGTAATGTAAAAATCTTCACAAGAAAATGACAGTACTGCAATCTCGTGCCTAAAATACTTTAAAATTCAATTTTCTAAATGAATAAAAACTAATTAACCAATCAAAGAGTAGTAAATCTTTCATATATATGGCTCACAATGAGTTCAAACCCAGCCTATCAGTAACCTCAAGTCATAGATCAATCTACCAGTAACCTCAAGTCATTGAACAACATAGATATTATAGACCGGCACTATTTCTTCCTGCTCTCAAATCGTCCTCCGATTGAAACCTACCCTATCATTACAGCTATTCAACATGTAGCTAAACCTCAACTTAAAGAGACATTAAATAAAAGTATGTATTTTTCATTTACTCATCAAACAGAAATAGGAGCCGGGCTACAGACATCGGATAGCCGTATTTGAAACTGGCATGTCGAGTTTTTCTTCGTATCTCACCTTTATTTACCATAACAAAATTAATGAACTTGAAAACATTGTCAATTTTAAAATGAAAAATAATTCCATATTATCACTGTTATTAAATGTTTGCTTAAACTTGAAAAAGTTCACAGTACGTTCATATTACATACAAACAATAACCTCTATCTTGAGAATAAAAAAAAAATGAAACAAGTTTCTGAAATTCGTTTACAATCAGATTTGACCAAAATACATTATTACCATAATCTATAAAAACACTTCAAATTTTTTTTTTTTAAGTTATTTCAAGGTCTGTTTTATTACATTAACTTCAAACTTTTCCATCTAATGAAAGTATTGACAAACTGATACTTATACTAGTTTTGGTGCCCTGTCTAGAGCTCATTTCATAAATATCAGCAAAAATGCTTTCTGTGACTGTCTGCTAACTGAAATTATCCTATTTTAATCTGGTACTGTGTTTATGGTAAAGAAGTAATTTAAAATATAACAAATTTTAAGCAAATACTTGAAATGTTTTTATAGAAAAAACCAAATGAATGTTACCCCTGGGTAAGTGATGTTGATTTATTTTATTTCAATACATGTACACATTCAAAAGACAAGGCTGTTTTGGTATTAGTTTCAATTTTTCATGTCAATACATATATCTAAATAACCTAATTGTAAATGTTATAAGTATAGAATAAAGACATCATTTTATGATAAATTACATTAAAATTATAAATATTGAATAATAACAACACAAGATTAGCAATATCCCCTAGTGCTTGAAATTCTTCAAATCCCAATTTCCCATCCCTACGTGAAATTAACCCCCTTTTTCAGTTCCCAAGTAACTTGTCACAGTACAGCAATGTCACTTTGTTGTTTGTGTATCTTTGTGAACAATATAATACATGGGATTAGATGTTAATCAATCTCAAGTCATTTATCTTGATATACTTAATGCTCAATATCCGAACTTCAGGGCAAATATGATAACTTTTGCTACTCTTGCTTTTAATAATCTCAATAATCAATATATTATATAGGTTTATACCAATTTACTTCTAACAAGATCATATTACATGCATATAAAAGTGTCAAAATCCCACAATATTGAAATTACCTCCCTTTTATGCACTGGACTGGATTTTAATTTTTTATAAGGTTTTTGGTCACATTATCAATAGCTGTTGCAATCATAATTACGGTGTCCTTGAAGCTTTCAAACTCTCATAGAAACACCTTAGATAATGCTCTATGCACAAGATGGTACCTTGATACATGTAGCACAATTAATGTTCAGGATTAAACTTCCCAGTCAGGACATTACAAATGTGAAACATTACATTCTTTCTTTTCTGATTCAATTTTTCTCTTTGATAATTTCATTAATTTTATTCTCTATAAAGTTGTGATTAACTTGCTGTATTTTAATATGAACTTGACCAGCTATCATTTTAGTAATATCATGCCCATCATCAATTGATGATTGTATGTAAGGTGGGCAAATCTAATACCATCAAAATATAGCTTGATTTGTTAATTTCATCACTAAAATTCCACTCAACTGGTCACTAAGTCAGCATAAGATGCTGTTGACTGTAACTGACCCCTGGTCACCCCAAGATGACCTCAGTTGACCAGTGGCTATAGCTTAAAGACAGAAATATAATCCTCCCATATCTTCACCTGTCCAGTATAGTCCTTTCTTTATTAAAAGTGTTGCCACGGTAATCCTTCATGTTTTCACTTCTTTTCAATTTACAAGTAAAGTATAACATTTCAAATTTTATATACCTTAAACTGTTTTAAATGACCATACACCTATTTAACAAAATAATGAAGATTACTTACTCTCTACTCTGAACCATTGTTACAGATGTCAAATCATTTTCTGTCAAAAGCCAATTCAGCCAGGTATATCAAAACAAGAGCTGTCTGAAAATAACAACAATTCTTACCGTAAGAGCTATATAGAGTTTATCAAAGGGTGAATAAAGATTCAAATGCTATCTACATTAAAATTAAAATGTTAAGAATAATGCCCAGTTTCATAAGAATAATTCATGTGAGTTAAAAAAGGGGGATCCAGCAGATATTCAAGTGTCACAGGGTAAGAAAAATGTGCAGCCTGACTGGGACTCAAACCCAGGACCCTTGGAATACTTTTCCATGGCTCTAATGAGCTATTCAGGCACTTACAAATCTTCTCCCTTACAAAGAGAACAGTTCTGAACCATGACATACTTCCCTGTTATATTGAAATACGTCCTGGCCTTTTGGTTAGGATTTTAATTTTCCTGTATGTTCAAAATTATAAATGAAAGTGACCCAATATAACATAAAATGTTTTTTTTAGCCGTTTTCTAAATATTTGACTAATTGACCTTAGCCTTGTGAGTGGCACTTTGAATGGATAATTGGTTAAGGTCACATTACTTTACTATTAATCTTAATTGTGTTCAGTGGTAGATAATTAGAAATTAATGACTGGACATGACAAAAAGGGCCCCGGTAGTGTCACCAATTAATTACTGTCCTTGATTAAAAAGAAATGACAGGGGACATTACCAAGTCCTATAATTTATAGTATATTATGTAGATATATTTTGAGATATATTCAATAATTTGAAACATATTGTCATTAAAAGAGTATAAAAGTTTCAATGTTAATGTAATGGTAGGGGTATTTCTACTTAATAAACAATTAACGAAGTAGAGTTTATAATATTAAGAATTTGAAAGATAAACCTGATAACCTAAGATGTAAAGTTACTAAAAAAATTACTGGAAAAAAGAGAGAAGTTTTTACAACAAGAGGGCCATGATGGCCCTGAGGTCGCTCACCTGTATAAAGGCACCAGGAGCGGGGCCAGTTTAAACCCCAGGGCTTTTATTTGAACAAACTTGGAAGACACCCATTAGAAGATGTTTCACAATGTTAAGTTTTTACTACACACATATAATGAAAAACAACGATCTATCCCCCCCTTTTTCCCCACCCCCCAGCAGGGCCAATTTTAACCCAAGGGCTTTTATTTGAACAAACTTGGTAGACACCCATAAGAAGATGTTTCATGCTAAACATCTAAGCTCTAGCTCATTGGGTTTTTTAAAAGAAGATTTTTTAAGTTTTTACTATACACATATAGTTAAAAACAATGACACCCCTGGGGCGGGGCCAGTTTTGACCCCAGGGCTTTTATTTGAACAAACTTTGTAGACACTTACTAGAAGATGTTTCATGCTTAATATCTAAACTCTAGCTATTTTGGTTTTTTCAAAGAAGATTTTTAAGTTTTTGCTATACACATATAAGGAATATCAATAACACCCGAGGCGGGGCCAATTTTGACTCCAGGGCTTTTATTTGAACAAACTTTGTAGACACTCACTAGAAGATGTTTCATGCTTAATATCTAAACTCTAGCTATTTGGGTTTTTTCAAAGAAGATTTTTTAAGTTTTTACTATATGCATATAGGGAAAATCAAAGACCCCCTGGGGCTGGGCCAATTTTGACCCCAGGGCTTTTATTTGAACAAACTTCGTAGAAACTCACTAGAAGATGTTTCATGCTTAATATCTAAACTCTAGCTATTTGGGTTTTTTCAAAGAAGTTTTTTTAAGTTTTTACTATATGCATATAGGGAAAATCAAAGACCCCCTGGGGCGGGGCCAATTTTTATCCCAGGGCTTTTATTTGAACAAACTTGGTAGACACTCAATAGAAGATGTTTCATGCCAAATATCTAAGCTCTAGCTCTTAGGGTTTTTTAAAAGAAGATATTTAAAGTTTTTTCTTTCCAGAGTTCTCCATGGAATTAAATTCTTTGAACAATTTTTAAAGGTGACCACCAAAGGAACATTCCTGTGAAGTTTGGATGAAATTGGCTTAGTGGTTTATGAGGAGATGTCATTTAAAGTAAAAGTTTACGGACGGACGGACGCCGGACGGACGCCGGACGAAAAGCGATCACAAAAGCTCACCCTGTCACTCTGTGATAGGTGAGCTAAAAATAAGCCATTCTTTTACAAAATAAGCAAGAACTACAAATTCTTATTTGAATTAAATTGATAAAATCTATTCCTTACATACAATAACTTTGATATAAACAAGTTGATCCCAATGGTCTTGGATCGCTCACACAAGAAACCAGGCAACAGTACCATAATAAAATCAAAGTTCAACTTATTTCAAGCTTGTTAGCTCTACCAGCCAGCCATCTTGTTCAGCAGTCCAAATTGATTTTAGGTTAAACATTGTATTTTTGAAGAATTAGACCTGATGCCATTTTCTGTTACTTTTATAAAAATTTGCAAAATTGTTGAGAAAAAGAAGTTATCTGAAGTTTTTTTTCTTTTTTTTAGCTCTACCAGTTTTAGGAGCCTTTTTGTTCAGCCATTTGAAATAATTTTACCTATCTCTGCAAAGGATCTTTTGAGGATCATTCCTGTCTTGCATCATCAGATTTGTCCAATTGTTCCAAATCCTGCTGGCGGCATCTTATTCTACCATTGCAACAAGTGAATCTTTGCCTTCTGATCATCGTCTGCACTGTTTGCTTTTCAATGAGTACTCATTTTGTAATTTTCCCTACAAAAGAAATAATTATTTAGTCCAGTTCTAAAGGTGGAGCGTCCATTTAAATTTTAAGATATTTTGCATGGTTAGGGTTAACACAATAGTAAACCAAAGAAGATGACTGATCACAATATGCTCAGATATGCTCAGGTAAGTCAAAGAAACTAAACATCTTTTAGACAAAGGAAACATAAGAGTCAAGGAAAAAAACCAAAAAGTGAAGACATCACAGCAGAGAAAGTGGATGTTTTTTTCAAATCTTAGCTTTTTTTCTAAGTTCTTTGAGATACAAACTAGAACTGCAACTGTCATGGCATTAATACCCCCGCATACCACTTTGTCAGAATCAACAGTGGCCATTTAGAGCTCAAGGACAACCTCCCTGCCAAATCTGAGGTTACTAAGCCAGTACATTGCTAAGTTAAGTATTCTACATGCTTCAAATGTGAAAATGTCAAAATCAATACACTGCGGACAGACATTTGCAGGCATAAGCATTTGAGCAGACAAGCTTATTATAGTAAAAGTCCCTGTGACCTTGACCTTTGACACTGTCACCTAAAAATCAATAGGGTCATCTACTAGTCATAAACAACCTCAAGGTCCTTGTGACCTTGACCTTTGACCCAGTGCCTTCAAAATCAATAGGAGTCATTTAATGGTCATGATCAACCTCCATGCCAAATATAAAGACTGTTGGTCAAAGGTTTCTTAAGTTATTGGGCGGACAAACTTTTTGAAGTAAAGGTCCCTGTGACCTTGACCTTTGACCCAGTAACCTCAAAATCAAAAGGGGTCATCTACTAATCATGACTTACCTCCATGCAAAATATGAAGACTGTGGGTTAAAGGGATCTTATATTGGGCGGACAAGCTTTTTTATAGTGAAGATCCCTGTGACCTTGACCTCTGACCCAGTCAACTCATAGTCAATAGGGGTCATCTATTAATCATGGCTAACCTTCATGCCAAATATGAAGATTGTGGGTCAAAGGAATCTTATTGGGTGGACAAGCTTTTTTTAGTCAAGACCCCTGTGACCTTGACCTTTGACCTGGTGACCTCAAAATCAACAAGGGTCATCTACTTATCAAGACCCATCTCAATACAAAATATAAAGACTGTGGGTCAAAAGAATCTTAAGTTATTGGGCGGACAAGCTTTTTTAGTCTAGGCCCCTGTGACTTTTGACCCAGTGACCTCTCAAACAATAGGGGTCATTTAATGGCCATGGCCAACCTCTATGCCAAATATGAAGACTGTGGTCAAAGAAATCTTAAGTTATTGAGCAGACAAGCTTTTTTTAAGTCAAGGCCCTTGTGACCTTGACCTTTGACTTGGTGTCCTAAAAATCAATAGGGATCATCATTCTACAAATCATGACCAATCTAAATACCAAATATGAAGACTGTGGGTCAAAGAAATCTTAAATTATTGGGCAGACAAGGAAAATCTGATGGACGCCCCGTCTGGCCAAAATGGAATAAGGAGCCATTTCTTTTGTTGTTTTCTATTGTTTAATAGAGGGCCAATGGCCCCTTACTCTATTGTTAAGGAATTAACACTATTGTTCCCTTTTGTTCTGTTTACAGTTAGATGGCCCCCTATCCCTATTCAGCAGTGCGGGGGGACGGACGGACGGACAAGCTGATTCCAGTTTACCTACGTTAAGTTGTGCGGGGGTTTAATAAGCTGTCCGGTTAGCTCGATTCTAGGACGATGCAGGTCACTTTTGTTGTGACTGATCATGAAATCATTTCTATGGTTATTCGCACTGTACCTCTGCTCTGGCATGTACAGAAGTTTCAGTGCCTTGCAAAAGTGAAGGCAACTAGAACTGGTAAAACTGCTTGAACTGTGCTCTGGTAAATTCAATGTGAATTACTGCCATCATCCAGAGTAAAAACTACCAATACCACCACCACCGCTATAAATATTGAGTTATAATCTAAACTTGTGATCCTAAACATAAGCCACCAGACCTGTCTATAAAGCAAGCTATGCCTAAGAAAAAAAGATATTCTTTTCTAAGTTGCAAATAAGCAATTACCATGAACAAATAACCTCAGATACAAGTACAAGCCCAAATTTTGTTTGGACACCAGTATTTTGTTTTGGCTATTTACTATCAAAGTTTTAATGTCACCAGATGTCTTCATTGGTCAAGCAATCTGATACTGAAACTTTTTAAAATGATAATATCTTAATTAGTATAATGAATAATTTACTACCAATGTATACCGTATTTTCAAAGTGTACATTTTTTTATAAAAGTCATCTACAAAGCTATTTCAAGTAAAGAACCCCTCTTAACTAAGATAACTAACACATGTACAGTAATTGACAGCTTTGACTTGAATAAAAATGCCTCCCAAAATTGTTCAGAATCCATCAAAATCAAGAAAATTAGATGCCCAGTATTTGTAGGTCAGATCTGCAAAAATACAACATTTTTCTGACTTGTGCTTGGTTTTATTGTGTCGCCTCTACGGAATAGTGGCGACATATAGGGATCACTTCTCCGTCGTCTGTCTGTCCGTCACAAAACTTGTCCGGACTACTCCTCATAAACTACAGGTGCAATTTCATCCAAACTTTACAGGAATGATCAATACCAAGTCTAGTTGTGCATATTGTCAGCATTTTCCGGTTCAATGATTTTTGTCAGAGTTATGGCCCTTTAATAATTTTTAATTTTAAGTTAGTCCGGAATTCTTCTCATATACCACTAATGCAATTTCAATGAAACTTTACAGGATTGATCTGTAGCTCAAGTCCTTGCGCATATTGCACGGGTTTTCCGGTTTAATGATTTCTGGCTGAGTTATGGCCCTTTGATAAAAAGGTGTTTTTTTCTGTGTATTGCCAGATACACAAAAGCTTGTCCGGACTACTCCTCATAAACTACAGGTGCAATTTCATCCAAACTTTACAGGAATGATCAGTACCAAGTCTAGTTGTGCATATTGTCAGCATTTTCCGGTTCAATGATTTTTGTCAGAGTTATGGCCCTTTAATAATTTTTATTTTTAAAGTTTGTCTTGACTACTTCTCTTATACCACTAATGCAATTTCAATGAATCTTTACAGGATTGATCTGTAGCTCAAGTCCTTTTGCATATTGCACGGTTTTCTGGTTGAATGATTTTTGGCCGACTTATGGCCCTTTGATAAAAAGGTGTTTTTTTCTGTGTGTTGCCAGATACGCAAAAGCTTGTCCAGACTACTCCTCATAAACTACTGGTGCAATTTTATCCAAACTTTACAGGAATGATCAGTACCAAGTCTAGTTGTGCACTGTTCATCTGTCTGTCCGTCTGTCACAAACTTTGTCCCAACATTAAATTGGCCATCATGAGGCGACACATGTGATTACTGATCGCTCTTGTTTTATTTAGAAATTTGCAACAGAGAGTATTAAATTTACCAAAATACCCATGTGTGTCTAATGTCACTTCTCCCTAAAATTTGCAAGAGGGGAAGTTAGATAAAACTACATGTCTACAAATCAGTTAAGAAATTATTTAACAGTCAAACTGTTCAAAATATACAAATAGTGTTCAAGAAATGTATAAGTATTTTCAAAGTTCATTTGACATTTGATGTATTTCATGTACAAGTTTATTAATATAATTACTTTTACTGGGAGAACAATGGTTTAGCCAAATTCATATTGTCATTATATACTGCAATGCTTTCAACTCCTATATATTGCAACACATATTTTGATACAGTGATCAAAATCCATTAGAGCATGATACTTGTAACCTCGACATTGAGGGTTTGATTCCCAGGCGAGCAAACTAAAATTACTTAGCAGTGTTTTGAATAGACTTTAAATTGAAGTCGTGTGTATGCCGAGTGCTAAAAATTTTGGCACACAAAAGAACCAAGAAATTTTAGCTTCTGGAATTTTCTGTATCCAAAATCTAAAATGACTTATACTCTTCTAGTGGACTCACCCATATTGGCAACCAGTGGCGAGTATAAAGAAACTCAAATAAAAACACAATACAGTGATAAAGCAAATTAAATCAGTGATAGACAGTTGTTACTAAAATGGACTTCTTAGGGCAAAACTATTGAAAATTCAATATATGCACTGAGTCAATAGTGAACAGTGCAGACCATGATCAGCCTGCACAGATTGTCTTGGTGTCCACTATTTCAGTCACTGCAGGCATGGATGTATAAAAAGCTGAACATTCACTTTATTCCCTTATCAACCAAATATAGCATTAATAATTCGACACTTTATTTTCATATCTATTTGTTTAGATAGAATTTGAGTTTCTGATGTCTTTACAAATTAGATGAATTATTTTCTATAAAAATGCTTAATTGCTAATTAAAACCATAGCATAAATTAATCATCAAAGTAAGCATTATCAAATATCAGATATCCAGCTTTGCATCTTTGAACAATACTTTATTTTAAATCTCCATCATTTTTCTAAATACTTTGATGGGAAAATGGCTGACAGCTATAGGCTATAGGGTTGAACCTGATCTTCTAACTTCAGCAGAATCCAATCTTGATGCTCATATTGTTTGGTGCAATTGTTGACAATAAAATTGTTAATACCACCCTCAAGCAAAGTCGAAGGTGAAGATGCTTTAAAACTGTGCACAATAAACGTATACAATTTCAATCAAGACCATTTACAACTAACAACTATTTTCACAAGATTTGAAAGATAAGATACTTTGAGCAATCATCTCATGTGTTAAATTAAAACTATAAATGAACTACCTTGTAACTTTTAACGTCTCTAATGTCCAAATCTTCAAGAAATACATATGCTACCAAATATAAGTTTGGTGTAAAGTATAGGGTAATAAAGAATTATTTATACATGTATTCTGACTAATCAGACAGGAAACGAATAGTACATTGGTTTTAATCAATTAAAAATCTAATGTCATATTCTCCGATGATAAAAATAAATATCCAACAAACTTAAATTGTTATAACCAAACATTTAAATTACTTTATTTTATTAAATCCTTTGATAAAATGTGTGTTATAGTATTTAAAATGCAGTATTTTTTTGTTCTTTCATTTAAATAAATAAATAGGTTGATATTTACAACAACAAAGATATACTAAACTATACATGTATAGAGATGTGTGTGTGTAATGGGGGAAGGGGAGTTTAAATCACACTGGAATTTACAGCAGAGCAGAAAAAAATATAGAAGCATCATTAATCTAGAGGTGACCAATATAAATTTATAGAGCTAGAATATCCAATTTTTCTACAAAATCCTTCCACATTATGACAAAATCTGCTTTCCCTGCAGTCATAAAAGGGCAACCTGTAGAAATAGTGATCAAACACAGTAATTGGCTGGACAGTGCACCTTGAACATCTCAACACTGATAATTATTCAGGATCATATTATACATGAAACTTTCAATATTAAAAGATCAAAAGGGGACAGCCTGGGGTCAGGAGACAGGATACCTGGTAATTGATCTAGATTAGTCCCTAAATTTGACAGGGAACATTGAGAGAGTCCCTAATCTCTCTTGTCAGCGAGAAACTTACTCCTTTTCTCACTACCATATTGCTGCAGCCATTTTAATCATCTAGTCTGCCTCCATGATTGATCAGTTTAAAATGACTAGTAATTTACTTTAGTTGAACTATTGTCATTTCTTAGAGGTTCAAATTAAACATCAAAGAATATTTCCACAAAGAGATCTCTTTTGGTTTTAGTAAGTTTTCAAACTGTGTTATATCTTAAGGATTTATAAACCACTGCTGATGCAAGTCTAATCAAATACTGTACATCTAAAACCAAGTGTTGTTTGAGCTGAGGAACTTATCATAATACCATTTGAATTTATGATTAAAGAAAAAAACTTGATATAAATGAAAATGGGAACATCTGGTTAAAATGTGATACTCAGATGAATTTTGTCAAACAAGTTTATATACATAAATTTCATCACATGTCACACATTTTCAGTGAATTAAATTTCTTTTTTTCACAAAGTTCCCTGTGTAAATGATCATGCATATTTCATAACAATAATGTCATTTTTATATATTTCTAAATTCAGGGTCTTTCTATTTGTAAGTTGATCATAATTGTATGATGTATCAAAAGTGCAGAAAATATCAGGGGAGAAAACTCTACTGACCATTGTACTAAGATGTGAGGAGTTATCTTTAATATTTGTCAACTATAGTAGGGAGGAGAACTAAAAGTATCCTTTGGAATAAAAGTCTGAGTGTAATATTATTTCTATTTATTGATGACAATACCAATACTTATTCCAGGATATTTATGGTCATTCTTACAAAAATAAGTGAGTTGGCAATACTTGCAAAACTATATAAAAGATAAACATCAGTCTGAATGGAAATAAGAAATCAAAAACTAGTGAAAAAGATGCAGTTTTAAATCTACACATTTAGCCCTTGATTGCATGGAACAGCAATTACTTAACTTTATTATCTATTTTAAAATACAAACAAAACTTACAATATGGGGATTAAATGCAAACTTAAATAAGTCAACATTGTACATTTATGATCATATGGCTATTATGGGCAGTTTATCAGGGCATTAGTTTTTGCTGGATTAAAACTCTTTGTAATAGTACTGCCAAGTGTAAAGGAAGAGCTTTGCTGAGGTGGGGCAACACGAATGGGTGGCAAATTCAAAAGAAGGTATCAATTTCAGCATAAATAGCATATCTTTGTCAATAAAAATTGATAACAGAGAAAATTAAACTTTTCTTGTGTTTGATTTAATAAACTTACATGCCAAATATTAGCACCATCCATGAAATCTTTTAAAAGTTATCCTGCATAAACCAATAATTTGACAGAAAATTTGGTTTAAAAGGGGCATAACTCTATCAATAACAAGTTAATAGCAGTGAAAACCGAACTTGACCTGCACTTTTACCAGTATTTAACATGCCAAATATAAACACAACCATTTAAATACTTCAAAAGATATCCTGCAGAAACCAATAATTTCACACAAAATTTGGTCAAAAAAGGGCATAACTCACATCAATAATTAGTTGACTGCAGTTAAAACTTGATGTGTGTTTTGATACACTATGGGCAGATAGACGGACGGACAGACAGACAGACAATGCCACACCATAAAATTTCCCTTAGTTTCTTTAGGCGTATACCGGTAATAATAAACAAGCAAATTGAATTTATATCCCCCACCGAGTACTGGTTATTACTAACACATAACTATTTGTACATGATAAAAATTCAGGGCAATAACAGAGGCCATTACCCCGTGTTAAAGAGTATTATCTGGACATGTCAATGAAATTCAAATTTCCTTTATGTATTGATGGTTCCCGTAAAGTTTTGTTTTAATCATCCAGCAGTTGCTAAGAAATAGCAATATTTCTCTATATGCATACTATATACAAGTAACTTATCAAGGGCCATAACTCTGTGTTGAAGGGTCTGACCGGAGCAAGGCGATAATATGCACATCTCCTCTTGGTATTGAAGGTTCCAATAAAATTTCGTTGAATTCCTGCCAATAGTTGCAGAAAAATAGCACCAAAACGATTTTTACTCTATATGCATAATGCATAACTAATCAAGGGCCATAACTCTGTGATGAAGGGCCTGACCGGAGCAAAGCAACAATATGCATATCTCCTCTTCATATTGTTATACAGTATATCATATATCAAGTCGTCCACTTATAAGAAACTGAAGTGTTTGAACAATTATCGCCGTTAAATTATCAAATATGAATAAGATTGTCCTATAAAATCAAAAATAACTCTTAACAATTTCGTCTTACCCAAACTATTGACTCGCGGAAACTAGTGACAATAATTACGTTGACAGCAATATCTGAATCCAGCTAGAAGTACGAGCTGGTTTAACTCATTCAAGTTATACTGTCGAAGAAGTTATACGTTATTTATAACCTCTAAACAACAGTTTCTCACACATAATTGGAATTCCTTGACGAAACATGTTTTGTTTACTTTTATGAAGAAGTCTCCAGCGGAAATGAGTTCCGTTCAAAAACCAAACGATAAATTATAAACGGAAAGTTTTTAACTACAGAAAAGTACCAATAAACAACATTTATCTGCTGTATTTATAACAATGTCTCTTATATTTCTATTCATTGTGAAACTATTGTAAACTCTAAACAACGGATTACAGCGGATCTATTTTATTTAAGCGGCGTACACAGACAGTGAGTTATTTGGAGACTGAATACTTGTGATTGGCTAGCGGAATCCGCTATGCGTTTTCATTGGTCGACGCCTTATTCAAATGTTTTGGACTGGTACTTTTTACCCGCTGTTATCAAGGCGCCAAAGTATATAAATACAGGCGCGAACATTCAATGTGAGCTTCCCAACCGCTGAGCGGAAAACCTTTCGTTATGTTGTAAACAAGTAGAATCCGCTGAAATAATTATATTGCTTTGGTAAAACATTATATTGAGTTATATTCCGCTGATGAAATGAATCTTTGATTGTTACAAATATAAATCCGCTGATATTTTGTTATTACTTTGTAATTCCGCTGGAGCGAATTCCGTTGAACTTGAATTCCGTTGAACTTAAATCCGCTGAAATGAATTGAGTTGTACCGTTGAACTGAAATGAACCGAGTTTTATAGATTCTTGGACACACAAAACCCACCTTGTATCATATACAGATAAAGTCTTATGAACATACATTAACAATTAATTGAAGCATATGCATTAAGTTTGTTCCATTGCATTTATTCATTTGTTTATCAAAAATAAACACCAGTTTTAAGTTTAAAACCGTGTTCTTCCGTATATATCTAACTCCGTCTATATATCGTATACTAAAGTTTAGCGATTTCCTGCTTCTTGACCCGGCCCTTTCCTGACAATATTGATGGCTCCCATAAAGTTTTGTTGAATTCTTGTAAATTGTTGCAGGAAATAGCATGAAAACGACATTTGCTCTCTTTGTATAATGCATAACTAGTAAAGGGCAATAACTCTGTGTTGAAGGGTCTGACCGGCACAAGGTGACAATATGTGCATCTCATCTTCGTATTGATGGTTCCCATAAAGGTTTATTGAATTCAAGCCAGTACTTGCAGAGAAGTAGCACAGAAATGATAATTGCTCTATATGCATACTACATAACTAATCAAGGGCCTTAACTCTGTGCTGAAGGGTCAGACCAGAAGAAGGCGACGATATGCACATCTCCTCTTGGTATTGATGGTTCCCATAAAGTTTCGTAGATGTCCTGCCAGAAGTTGCAGAGAAGTAGCACGGAAACGATTATTGCTCTATTTGCATAATCAAGGGCCATAACTGTGTTTAAAAGTCAGACCAGAACAAAGCGATGATATGCACATCTCCTCTTGGTATTGATGGTTCCCATAAAGTTTCGTTGAATTCAAGCCAGAAGTTAAGGAGAACTAGCACGGAAACGAAATTCGGATGGACGGATGGACGGACAACACCAAAACAATATTTACCTGCCGATTCAATCGGCATGAGATAACAAATCAGGAAGCTTATGAACGGGTCATTTGTAATTCTGATAAAACTGAGAATATCTCTGTAAAATACTCTATGGTGCAATTAGGATAAGCCCTAATAAGGAACCATAGATTACACAAAAATCTTTTAATATAATAACATACACAAGTCTGTTTTACATTCATTTATATTATAAAAATATCTCTCTATAAAATCACTGAACATTGTCTATGTGTAAAAATTATGAAAATGATGATCATGGGTGAACACATTATTTCATTCTTTTTGCAATGTCTGTCATAAAGAAGTATATGTTTGATTAAGTTTCTAGTCAATTATATAAAATATACAATGAAAATAGACTAGGCTTCTCGATAAACAACATGACAAACTACATAATAAACTTTTACATGAATTACAAAATTTCAAAATTACTTTCCTTTAAAGTTAAGGCACACTGCCAGTGTGGACAAAAAAAGTCTTTTATAACTATGACAACCTTTGGTATTGTAAATATACATTGATATATCACATATCAAAAATGGACTATATAAAACTGTATTTATCACATACTGGTTACTTTTTAAATTTAACAAAACTTGGCTAAAAATTTCACCAGAATCACCAGCATTGTTTCTTTTTAATCCGCACATTCAAGCTTACACTGACACTGTGGAGATCTCCGAGGCAATTCCTGTAACATATAAAATCAGTCTTTTTTATATTGAATTCATAGTAAATATTTTTTAAAAAAAATCTCTATACAATGTTTATAACATTCATAATTTATATAAAAATCAAAATCTTCCTGCTTTCATATTGTATTTGTGTTGTTAGTTGTGAGAGCTTTTTCCGATTTGTTCAAACAGAAATAAAAAAACATCAAAAAAACCTATTTTCAAGTATGCTTACATTTCTCACAAGCTCAAAGAATATAAGATTGTATGGCAGATTTTTATATTGTCAACAGCGCCCCTAAAACACAATGTACCTCACTGCAGATTTTGCCTTATTGACACACCATAGTGAGTCTTCATAAGAACAAGAAAATCAAATGATACACTAAATGAAACCCTCTCCTAAAGGTTGTTTGTGACTTACCACATACGTTGGCACCAATTTTGATATATATGTAACCTTCATGTCCAAAATCATTACCCCATGAATTACGTACAATATAGAATGGAACTTCACCTGCATGCATATAAATATAAAACTGAATATAAACTAGAACTGCCACTATCATGGCCTGAATACCCCCGCATACCACTTTGTCAGAATCAACAGTGGCCATTTAGAGCTCAAGGACAACCTCCCTGCCAAATCTGAGGTTACTAAGCCAGTGCATTTCTAAGTTATGTATTCTACATGCTTCAAATGTGAAAATGTCAAAATCAATACATTGCGGACAGGACATACTTTAGCAATTGAGAAGAAAAGCTTTTTTTTGTCAAGGTCCCTGTGACCTTGACCTTTGACCCAATGACCTCAAAATCAATAGGGGTCACCTTAAAGTCATGATAAACATTCATACCAAATATGAAGACTGTGGGTCAAAGGAATCTTAAGTTAATGGGTAGACAAACTTTTTGAAGTCAAAGTCCCTATGACCTTGACCTTTGATCCAGTGACCTCAAAATCAACAGGGGTCATCTACTAATCATGATCAACATCCATGCCAAATATGAAGACTGTGGGTCAAAGGAATCTAAAGTTATTGGGCGGACAAGCTTTTTGAAGTCAAGGCCCCTGTGACCTTGACCTTTGACCTGGTGACCTCAAAATCAATAGGGGTCATCTACTAATCATGACTAACCTCCATGCCAAATATGAAGACTAAGGGTCAAAGGAATCTTAAGTTATTGGGCGAACAAGAAAAAACCGACGGACGGACGGCCGGACGGACGGACGGACGGACAATCTGATTCCAGTATACCCGCCTTACAACTTTGTTGTGCGGGGGTATAAACATACTTAAGCAAAAGTATAGGGAAGCAAATATTAATTTCTATCAATATAATTACCAGAATTCACATAAGTTCCCAAAACTATCTTTTCACTGTGAAAAAGGATTTAAAGCTAATTGATGAGAATAAGTGAAACTGCTATCTAAAAACTGCCTGTAAGTTCAATAACAGAAAATGTACCTGGTATATAAATGACAAGTTATGTTAACACACAGAGCTTGGTTATTTGAAATCTAACATGCATGTAACTTCAAACTTTTTACGTTATAATATACAATATACTTATATTCTGCCAAATAGTACACAACTTGAAGAAATGTAGATAAATGAATATTATAACTGTGTTTAAACATTCCTTTTTCTCCCTGAAAATATCAAACCTACTACACTTCTTTGTTTTTTTGCATATCAGACAGGATTCAACAGTAGTCGGATCAGGCTCTGTTCTGTTGGGTAGCTCAAGTTTAGTATTTTGGTATTGAAATCCATTGTTCTTCATTCAAAGTAGGTAAAATCTAAAACACATATTCAGCAAATGAAGGCTTTAGACAATAATGAATTAATTACCAGTTAAGTCATAGCCAACAATTTGTACAGCATGATTTATGAAGGCATCACAATGATACTGAATTATCCCCCCTTGATAATTATACCAGGTGGTAGCATCTACAGCAGCAACTAGGGGACCTGTCTGTAATAACTGTAACACTTTATCTTCACTCACGTGTCTGTAAAAAAATTCAGGATTTGTTGAGCTGACATTCCCATTAATGCAAAGTGAACAAGACTGTAGTTGGCATTTATATTAGCATAATACAAAAGTAAATGTATAACTAAACACTTAAATATCAAAACCAGTGGTAATTTTTTTTGAAGGTTGGCTTTATTTCAGGCATGAGCAGGCACCTGAATATGACCACCAATTTTTCATAAGCTGGCTGGATAGCTTACTCACATCAAAGTATCAAGAGTCGGGATTTGAACCTGCAGCCCGGAGGGGCAAGTGGTTTGAAGTAAACAACCTCAACCACTTGGCAATGGACACCCCTTTTTACACTTGTAAAGTTGAAAGCATTTATATAGTACAGAAGTAATTGCATATCAAAAATTGTGGCAGTTTTATTCCAATTCTTGTAGATTATACATATCAGATAAATTAGATTTATTCAATTAAATTTATTTATATCCTTTTCATTTCTATTCAATTTTACAAAAATAAACTGTTTAACCTGTAAATTTGTATTTCAAACATATAAAAGATCACACATGTGAAAACAATTCTAAAGACTACAAATACATGTACATTTATACCTATAACATTTGTAATTCTTCACTTGGACCCCTTTTGTCTTATTTGGTTCAATTTTACAGAAATTGGATTCATCTGTTAGTGGATAATGTATATCTGAGACAAGAGGTGTCTTGGTCTGAAAGACAGGGCAGCAAGTTATAACAATATATGATATTATTGCAGCAAAAGAATTATTAACATTGTTACAAGTAGAAATATTTTAAACTAGCAAAACATTCAGGATCTAATCTTTTTTTTAAGTCAGATTATGAAATGATATAATTTAATATATTTTCATAACATTTAAAATTCTTATCATAAACATAACAACTGTATTATGACGGAATGGCTGACTGGTTTACATGTCAGACTAGTAATTCAGGAATCACTATCCACCTAGGTTCCATCCCTATCAGAGTACATTCTTTTTTTCCTTGAGCAAGAAACTTTATACGTATTTCTCAGTACAGGTTGGTTCCAGGAATGGATTCAAGTGTGTGTCTATCAGCTTTAAGCTTTCTACACAATCAAACTAAATAAATTTTGTATAAACCAAAACTGCATCTTGGAAAACCCGACACCAAGATTCCACAAAAAAATAAGTAGAAGGGACACTTACATTTACCATCCACTTGAGTGCTGTACAAGTATCTCCACCTTGACAACCTTCATTATTACTAGAACAGTCTATAACCTGCTGTACAGATAACGATGGTGGTGAACTTCCTGTTGTCTTGGCAACCATGCTCTCTACTGTCTCTACAGTACTGAAAGCCCTGTAATACATTAGATAAGTTCAGATGATTCCAATGATAAACTGATTTTACTAAGCATTTTACTAAACTTTATAGAAACTTTTTAAGAAGGAATGTTGAATGAATTAACATTTTAGGTTGGTTAAATATCTAAATTTTTTGAAGGTCAACTTTTAAAAACATCATTGTACTACTATTTTAACAAGAGCCATGTCAACATGGCCATCCCCCGCCGAATGTGTTTGGTCATTGGAAGAATGTATATGTAGTAGAACAGAATAATTCTATTTTAAGAGGTCTTTTGGTAATGAAAACTGATGGCTATAGTGATTACAGATTTGAAACCAATGTGAATACTGATGAATGAAAATAACAAAGGGCAATAACTGAAAAATAATGCAGGGTAGGTTATCATTCTTGTGTGCTGCATCCCTCCTCAGTAAAATCTATCCACCTATGAAGTTTCAAGTTGATACCTCAAATACTTTTTGAGAAAAAAATTGAATTGAAAAATTAAGTATGAAAAATAACAAAGGGCAATAACTAAAAAATTATAAAAGGTAGAGTTATCATTCTTGTGCAGTGCACACCTCCTGAGTGAGATCTATGCACCTATGAAGTTTCATTTTGATATTTCAAAGGCTTTTTGAGTTATGCTCTGGACAAAAATTAATTTTGAAAAATAACAAAGGGCAATAACTCAAAAATAATGCAGGGTAGAGTTATCATTCTTAAGCACTGCACTCCTCCTCAATGAGATCCATCCACCTTTGAAGTTTCAAGTTGATACCTCAAATACTTTTTGAGATAAGCTCTGGACAAAATAGCATAACAAAACAAAGGGCAATAACTCAAAAATTGTATAGGGAAGAGTTATCATTCTTGCGCACAACATTTCTCCTCAATAAGATCTATCCACCTATGACATTTCATGTTGATATCTCAAACACTTTTTGAGTTATGCTCCACTCAGGTGAAAAATTAAGTATGAAAAATAACAAAGGGCAATAACTCAAAAATTATGAAAGGTAGAGTTATCATTCATGTGCACTGCACACCTCCATAGTGAGATCTATGCACCTATAAAGTTTCATGTTAATATCTCATAGGCTTTTGGAGTTATGCTCTGGTCAAAAATCAATATTGAAAAATAACAAAGGGCAATAACTCAAAAATCATGCAAGGTAGATTTATCATTCTTGTGCACTGCACTCCTCCTCAATGAGGTCTATCCACATATAACATTCCTCCTCAATAAGATCTATCCACCTATGACATTTCATGTTGATATCTCAAACACTTTTTGAGTTATGCTCCACTCAGGTGAAAAATTAGGTATGAAAAATAACAAAGGGCAATAACTCAAAAATTATGAAAGGTAGAGTTATCATTCATGTGCACTGCACACCTCCTGAGTGAGATCTATGCACCTATGAAGTTTCATGTTAATATCTCATAGGCTTTTGGAGTTATGCTCTGGACAAAAATCAATTTTGAAAAATAACAAAGGGCAATAACTCAAAAATTATGTAAGGTAGAGTTATCATTCTTGTGCACTGCACTCCTCCTCAATGAGGTCTATCCACCTATGAAGTTTCAAGTTGATAACTCAAATACTTTTAGAGATATGCTCCGGACAAAAATGTCGGACGGAAGGAAGGTCGGTCGGACGGACGGACGGACGGAGACTATTTCTATATCCTCCGCCGAAAATTTTCGGCGGGGGATAATAAAGCACGGTCCTTCACAAGAGAACAAAAATATTCATCAATTCTGATAATCAAATACACATGTGTTTACTTATAATCACAGATCAAAATTCCATAGCAATTCAGTAACACCACTCATTATGTCAACAACATTATGACAGATATTTTATATTACCAGCATCCTCCACATTTCTTCTGGTCCTTCACAGGTGAGATAATACTGTAGTTTAAATATGTTCTCCTGAAATTCATAAATAAAATATCCGAGTATCTGCTCAGACAAAAACATGAATTTGATCATATATAACTAGAACTATCACTAAATGTGATTAATACCCCCACAAGACTGCTTCTGAAATGAGGATGTTACTAGTAACAGAATATCTTGTAAAAGAATTGATATATAGAGTTATGGTTGTGGGCAATTAAAGATAGTTGTGGTTCTTGTTTATTGCATTTCCTTTCAATGTGGTTGGCCATTGATGAAGCTTTATTGAATTACTCTGTAATAAGTCCAGAAAGACAAAGAAAATAAACAAAGGGCAATAACTCTATAAATACTGAAGATGGAGTTATAGTTCTTGTGCACTGCACTTCCTCTTTTTGTGCTTGACCATTGTATGAAGTTGTTTTGAATTTCAACCAGTACGTTTTAAGTTATGCTCCAGACAAGGAAAAGTATCAAAGGGCAGTAACTCTGTATTTTGTCAAAATGGAGTTATGGCTCTTATGCACTGCACTTCCTTTTAATGTCCTTGACAACTGTATGAAGTTGTATTGAATTCCAAACAGTAGTTTTCAAGTTATGCTCTGGACAAGGAAAAGTAACAAAGGGCAATAACTCTGTAATCTGTCAAGATGGAGTTATGGTTCTTGTGCACTGCACTTCCTCTCAATGTGCTTGACCATTGTATGAAGTTATAATGAATTCCAACAATTAGTCTTCAAGTTATACTCCTGACAAAAGAAAGCAATGGAAAAGTAACAAAGGGCAATAACTCTGTAATTACTTTAGATAGAGTTTATGGTTCTTATGCACTGCACTTCCCCTTACTGTGTTTGACAATTGTATGAAGTTGTTTTGAATTCCAACCAGTAATTTACAAGTTATGCCCCGGACAAGGAAAAGTAACAAAGGGCAATAACTCTGTAATTAGTCAAGATAGAGTTATGGTTCTTGTGCACTGCACTTCCTCTCAATGTGCTTGACCATTGTATGTAGTTATATTGAATTCCAACCATTAGTCTTCAAGTTATGGTCCGGACAAAAGAAAGCAATGGAAAAGTAACAAAGGGCAATAACTCTTTAATTACTTTAGATAGAGTTATGGTTCTTGTGCACTGCACTTCCCCTTATTGTGTTTGACAATTGTATGAAGTTGTTTTGAATTCCAACCAGTAGTGGTCAAGTTATGCCCTGGACAAGGAAAAGTAACAAAGGGCAGTAACTCTTTAATTAGTCAAGATAGAGTTATGGTTCTTGTGCACTGCACTTCCTCTAAATGTGCTTGACCATTGTATGTAGTTATATTGAATTCCAACTATTAGTATTCAAGTTATGGTCCGGACAAAAGAAAGCAATGGAAAAGTAACAAAGGGCAATAACTCTGTAATTACTTTAGATAGAGTTATGGTTCTTGTGCACTGCACTTCCCCTTATTGTGTTTGACAATTGTATGAAGTTGTTTTGAATTCCAACCAGTAGTTTTCAAGTTATGCCCTGGACAAGGAAAAGTAACAAAGGGCAATAACTCTGTAATTAGTCAAGATAGAGTTATGGTTCTTGTGCACTGCACTTCCTCTCAATGTGCTTGACCATTGTATGTAGTTATATTGAATTCCAACCATTAGTCTTCAAGTTATGGTCCGGACAAGGAAAATGCAACGGACGTCTGGACTGACCGACCGACCGACCGACCAATCGACCACCGGGTGACTCCTATATACCCCCCCAAACTTCGTTTTTGGGGGTATAAATATATCAAAATGTTTCTACTTTATAATCATTAGGAAAAATACTTCAACGACATGATGGCAGTTATGCACAATATTCCTCAGAAACATATATTCTTTTCCTGCTTTAAAAAGGGCAAACATGGATTTTATAATGTTTGAATAACAGTTCCAGAGCATGTTAGATGTGTATCACCTTAAGAAAGTAGTGCTGAATGTGAAATTATTTGTCATAAAAGTAACAAATATAAACAAAGCAACCTTAACCAAAAAGTTAAATAAAAGCTTACCAGTCTAGTTTTTGAAGAATTTTAAGTTTTCTCAGCTGATGAACAGGTATAACTCTGGTATGGTTCAAAAGTTTCACACTTGGCTGTAAGTCATTAAGATATAATTCTGAAATATAAGAAATTTAGAATGCAATGAAAGCCATACAAAATATGACAAAATCTTAAACTTATAAATTAGACATATATATTTCAGTTAGATTGCAATAACAGCTTGACACTTATATTTGAAACGCTCTCCAGTCTGCTTCCCAGAACTTATTCATACTGATGTTACATGAGTAAAAGTGGTCTTTCTTAGTAGGGTGCAAAGTCATGATCCTGGTCTTTTAACCCAAAGACTGCCGACTGAATATAATTTTCAATGGTTAGTTGTCTTATATACAGCAAATCAGTTTAGAACAAAGTTTCATTCATGAATACTTGTCAAGTTTGAAATTTTAAAGTCTATTTAAACATCATGGGAAGTAACTATGTTTGCTCCAAAGTTCAGCATATACTGAATCATCTCCCATTACCTTAACATGGGAGAGGGGGGTACTCGGGAAGCAGAAAACCTATGTTCTGTAATTAATATTTCTGCCAAAAAGTTTTAGTATCTTTGTATTGGTTCAAAAGATGAAGAGCGGACACAAAATTTTGAATATGATACAATTGTGACCTTGACATGAGGAAGTTCAAACATTGTCTCATTATGGTTAACATTTCAGTCAAGTATTTTCAATTTCCTTCCACAATCACAAAAGATAGAGACCCAACACCAAACCTGCTAACAGAAGGACAGAAATATGACAGAGTTGTCAGTTGGGATAAAGAGCAATTTCTATTCTAATCATTTTTTGTTTAATAGGGGGTCCTACCTGTACTTGTACTGCTATTGTTCTGTTTACAGTTACATGTAGATAGCCCATATCCCAATTCAGAAGTAAGCACGGATAACCAGGTTTATAACATTATACGTCAAAATTTTTTGTTATTACCAGCTTATAACATTTGTCCCCTAAAACTGCTTGATTTCACACAATTTAAATTATGCTGTTCTACAAAGAGACAAACCTTTAAACTCAGAAAAACTGAAATTTGAAAATTTTGTTGGACCCATTTTTGCTCCATTCTCAAATAATTTCTTCCCTTTGCCAACATTATCCTGAAATTAAATACAACAAATAGCTGTTTAAATAACAGTATTATATCATCATGTCTTTGAACATATTATAATGAAATGTTAAAAAAAAAATCCAGAGAACTTCATTGACCTGCTTGTGTCACAATTCAACTGTGTATGTGTCACATGACTTTTCTGTGAACAGTTTCTGTATGTCCAGTTGTTTTGTATGTTGTGTGAGAGCAATCTGAAGGTTTAAATTTGTTTTGTTTTTATTTAAGCATCTCTACACTTCTATACTAAAACATTCTTGAATCAAATATAATTTGAGTTATGTCATTGCCTAGTTATTTTCAAACATCTTGAAATACTGTGTTGTTGTGCTTTAATACATGTAAATATTGTAAACATTATAATAATTTATTAGTAATTAATGTGGTCTTATTTGCATTGTTCAAATGCCATGATGTTGTATTTAAGCGTGTCTTTATTTTATTTGTATTATTATAATGATTTATTTCTTTAAGATTCTTTTAAAGAAATGTTGTATTATTTCTGTATTACTGCTTGCAATGCTTTTACTAGTCAACGCAGCATTTTATATGGTGAAATAAAAGATAAGAATTTAAACTTTGAAAAAATGTCTAAAATAAGCAAATTCATTTGGTTAATGAGCAACGAAGATGAAAAAATCATAAAAACAATTTGTAGATTTTATTTTTACTTGTTTTTAAACTCAGAAATGGTAATGAGAAAACATAAATTAATTTAACTTGGTATATATAATATATATATATATATATATATATATATATATATATATATATATATATATATAATTTTTTTGGAGAGAGAGACATGTGTATTGTACTGTTTTGTTACAAAACAGGTATACGCTATCTGTTTGTGTAAATTAAATGTTATTCGAAGAATTGACCTTTTCGAAAACCTAGCTAAACACCGTTTTCCGGTACATTACCGTTTTAGCTCTGGGGAAATGAATTACACCAAATGAAGTACATAACACAGTTACATGATATTTCTATTTTCTATCATTATTTAACCGTTTAAGGTGAAAAAATTGATGTTTTTAAAAATTATCAATATTCCTTTAATATCTATTGCAAATTGTTCAAAAAAATAAATTATTTATAATGAAAATCAATAAAATTCTAACAGACGTAGTGGAATCTTCCATAATAAATAAGGTTATTTTCAGCGTAAACTTGTGTATTTACTTTATTTTTTGTATGGAATTATTCATACAATGATATTTAATTATTTTCTTATAAGGAAATAACTGTTTTATTTCAATTTAATTAAAAAAAGGCCGAAAACATCGAGTTCGCTATTACACTCCATTAGGTGAATTCCCCAGAGCTATGTACAGAAAGTACCGGAAAACGGCGTTTAGCTAGGATTTCAAATTCGTGAATAAAAACAAAATGTATTTTTCAATTCATATATATATATGTAGTTATGATGTTTAATTATTGTTCGCGAAACCCTGTCATTTGCTGTGTTTGTTTGTTTTGTTTTTGTTTTTTCTTTAAGTTTATTGTTGTTACTATAATACGAATCAAGTTTTAGTTTCTTTAACATCTTTATTTGATCTTTGATCTCATTATTATTATTGTGATTCACATGTCATTTAACATGACCCTTGATTGGAAATAAAAGTTATTCTATTCTATTCTTTCAGAATTAAAATACTCAATGGGTTAATTTATATTATATAATTAAATTGATGATTAAGTAAGCTACAACTACTAATTTATTGGTTGGTTAACCTGCATTAACTAAACTCAGTGATCCCTAGAGACCTGTTTTGAACCAATGGATTTTTGAGGGGCGAACCAACTGTGGTGCGAATGTTAATAATTATTATTTCATAATTTGCACAATACCTTAGTAATGTCATTCCATTTTTTGTAAGTTGCACTTGAGGAATTTCGTGGTACTTTGGATTCCTTCACAAAACTTATTTGTTCTGAAAACGCAAAGTACAGATAAAAATGAAACAATATCAATAAGTAAATTTGTTTCCTCATCACTGACAAAGTCCGCGAATAATAGTATGCGCACGCAAACGAAAAGCGTTTTAAAATGCGAAACGAATTTTTATACTGGTGCCGTTACTTAGACACGAAATTTGTAATTTTTTAATGCAGATCTGTTTTGATAAGAGACTTACTACATCATGATTTTTTTAACTTACTAGAATAACAGGTGTAGCATCATTTTATATATCTACTTATCCCTTCCGTATATTAAGCCTCTAGTCGTATATTACTGTTTTCGCGTATTCTGCAGCATGACGTTATTTGTGCGTGTCCACAACTTCCTTTTCCGGTAGTTTTTCAAGATGACTACAAATATTAGCAAGAAGCGAAAGGTTTTTGCATTTAACAGTCTTATAACCCACCCGATAATGAAATCATTGTTTTAACAAAATCAACTGATATTTAAGAAGCATTTGAAGAGCGTTGAAGCTGTAAAATGCAAAGATAACATAGGATCGAGCAAGATATAATTGGGCATGTAGAGTGTAGTATTTAGTTTCTAGTTGGAGACACTGCTATTTCTTTGAAAAGCTATTACTGCAATTTGTTTTCATGCATTAAGTTATTACACGGTCTTTGTTCACGTTAAATTTACCTTTCATTATAACCAGACAAATTATTTCTCATGAAAATATACGTTGAATTTGATTGATAAATTCTGAATGCTTAAAATACAGTATTGATGCACAGGTGCTTGAAACAAACTTTTGAAAGTTTTATATGGGCTATATACTATGATAAGATATAAGGTCTCCAACAGAACAAAAACATCGGCTATATCGTGGAATAGACCCCGGGGTCTAAACCAGGAGTATATATATATAGGTTCATTCCGTTTTCTTTAGTGCATTATATACAAGTTTTACTTCTGAAATATACATTGGGGTCTAATCCAGGAGATTGCCAAACATCGGCTATATCCTGGAATAGACCCCGGGGTCTAAACCAGGAGTATATATAAGGTTCATTCCGTTTTCTTTAGTGCATTATATACAAGTTTTACTTCTGAAATATACATAGGGGTCTAATCCAGGAGATTGCCTTTATCTGACATATCCGTCGGACTGGCGTATTTCGGGAAGTCTGCTCAAATATATCCTTTAAATTCTCAAGATTGCCATTTGCCAGTTCATTATTTTGTTTGGTACTGAAAAGCAAGGCAACAAGATTGTCATTTGCCAGTTCATTATTTTGTTTGGTACTGAAAAGCAATCCTACCAATTGGGAATTTTTTACACATTTTTGTGAATTTTTTGGGTTTATTTTTTTCATTGTGAAGAGGCCTTATTTCGGGGTCAATCTGCCAAAAAAAAATCACTGGTAAATGTTATAGACTTGGCTTATTTTATTGATTCACTATCAACACGGTACACCAAGAACATTTGTTGTTACTGTGACAACTGTTGGTTTTTCTTAATCTTAACAGATTATATATGAAGAAAGGGTTATATGAAAATTGAATGGTAATTGTTCATCACTTATGTTTTTAAAAAAAATTATCTTTCAGTTTGTGGCTGATGGAGTGTTCAAAGCCGAGTTGAACAACTTCCTCACACGTGAACTTGCTGAAGATGGTTACAGTGGTGTCGAAGTACGTGTTACTCCAACCAGAACTGAAATTATCATCCTGGCTACAAGAACACAGAA